TGACGCAACAATACATTTCTTTGTTTATCATTAGCACTAGTAGCGGTTCTAAAGTTCAAGACCTTTTGGAGACTTTCTTGTTGTTAAACAAAGTGAATTGTGATAATAGCCAAATTTAATTAATGTTATAAAATATATAAACAACTAAATACATAATAAAGCTATCCCCAACGTCACAGATTGTACCAAACATATACATTATTCGAAACCACGCAAAAACTCTTGGCTAAAGTATTTTAGGATGATGAACAAGAAAGTCATAATTATATTCCAGAGGTCTAAATAAATGAAAACTTAACTCATGTTACAATAATGAACGCCTTTCAAAATTGCTCTACATATGAATAAGGGCCGATCAAATTTCAGATTTATTATAATATCTTCTTGAGCGTGTATTCGGAAGATTAAATTAAATAATTTTTATCTAGATATAGCCGTTTAATTGATATGTTGATACCAATAACTATAATAATAAATACTTTTTTAACTTGAGAGACGTGGATATTTTTTCCAGTTACCTATATGTATATCTCTTTAAATTCGCTTTTGACCATTCTTTTTTCTTGTCCATCAATTCCAATATAAAAAATGCGATATATATTTTTTTAAATATTAATTTCTAATTTTACTCATTCGTCGAGAATTTAACTTAGATGTAACGATTTTGGTAAAACCAATAAGGAAAGTATAAATCAAAGAATGGAAACACCATTGAAAGGAGGATGCCACAATGTTGAAAATCCAAGTACAGAACCTATGTTGCCAGCGTTTGATTACTGGGAGTTATATGATGTAAACTGTTGTGTTTAAAACAAAGAAACAAATCTAGTTTTAGAACCATGTTTATTGCAAAGGAAACTATTAAATCACTGCTCACGAGTCACAAACCTAACAATTATAATAAGAATAATTTTAGAATCGAAATATAAAGGCCGAAAAAATTAAATTTCTTAAAACGCCAGAGTGTGTTTTTTTTTTAAGAGATATTAATATCTTTGTGACGTGGCCTCCTTTCGTTGGCGGGTTCATTTAAATTATTATATGAAAATAATTCAAAAGTTCAGTCCATGAAAACTATAAAGAATGAGATTATTTCCTTTTTTAACATTTCGACAAACTAGAACACTTTTACTGCCGTAAATTTACCGTAGGCCTGTATTACAAATGATGTTACCTAATATAAAATAAATCAACCTATTTATTCAAAGTAATTGCTATAGCACCCCCCAAATGGCACAGCGGTAAGTCTGCGAATTTTTAACACTAGAAGTCGGGTTTCAATATCCGTGGTAGGCACAGTACAGCTATCCCATTGTGTAGTTTTGTGCTTAACTACAAACTAACAAAAACTGCGATAGCTATCCCACTGACTGATTCACTCTATCTTCAAAATTACCCTTGAAACAACATACCTCCTACGTACATTACGCTTCCCGGAATGTCGTATTTATAATCTACGTTTGAATATATTAGAACTTTAAGTCACATTCTTAGAGCAAGTCTTTACACCACATTCTTAGAATGATCCAGATATTCTATCTAAGCCTATCTTGACTTTCCAAACTTAAAATTACCATTAAGACTCGCAGCCCCCACCAGCTAACTTCTAAATTAAACGTTAAAAATGTAGTTTATAACATTGGGCTTCTCAACAGGTTGAGGTTCTGCTGGCAAGTTCTTCTCTGGAGTTACCTAGGCAGTTGTTCTCTCTCTTACGTTCTTTCAGATATAACAAACTGATAGGATTTGTCCTGGATTGACTACTCTTTTGGATTTTGTAAACCATATCATATTTTTTTCAGCCCAGGGTATGACCCCTCCCAGCTCATGCTTAACTTTAGAATTCTTCCATTTTTGCAATGGGGATTGTCACTTTGATGGAATCCAGTTTTATCAGCATTAACATCATAGTGGCTTTTCATTTTATCACAACTTATTTAAGTATTTTTCAGGGAGTAATGAATGGGACTGATGGTGTTTCTTATCCCCCAACATATCCTGTTGGAGACTTTTCAAAGTGACTGTTTGGCACTTTCATTTCTTTTCAAAATATCAGCGATGATAGTGTGCTGCTGGTAGCTTCGTGTCCTGCCATGTAATAACTCATCAGTAGCAGTGGAAGTTCTTGATCCCACATTTTCTGATGTTTATCCACATACATAACTAAATGATTTAAAAGTGTGCAGTTGTATCTGTTTATCATGCAATCTGTAAATGAATGAAGGAACTGTTGTTCTGTTCTTTTTAATCCCAAGGATCCGACACATTTCTGCCAACAAATTTGATTCAATATTCCATCTCTCATCTGATTGAAACTCCATTAGCACACAAAATCCCAAGAAACATTCGTTCACAAATTTCTTCAGAAGAGTTTCTGCTTCCTGGTAAAGAATAGAACATGTTTTCTGACCATTTGGTGAAATAATTTACTACAACCATGATGTGTCTATTTATACTGTTTCTCTGTGGAAGAGGGCCATAAACAACAGTTATAGTAGTGATTTTAAAGAGAAATTATCACAGACTGTATTGTAATAACAGAGCAGGAAGAATAATTCATCTTGTCAAATTGTGTTTTAAAGTAACTGAACCAGCCTGTTTAGACTTTGACGCAAAAGACAATTATTTAAAGTTCTGGATACAACTATTATAACCAACAGTGCAATGAACATTTGTATATACGTTTCATTTGTTTTAATATATTATTTTAAAACAAATGGACTTTGTGTTTCTTGTCACAATTTATTGCCAACAATTCACAAACACCTACTGTAAATAATCCGATCCATACTTGTTGAATACTTGTTCACAAAACTTAATTGGCTTTTCAAGTAATTTGTTTAGAGGATGAGCTATATCAGAGAAATATTATACAAAACGATGATACTACAAGCACAGTCCAAGGAATCCACCTATCTCAGGCAGGTTCTTTAGTGTTGTCCAATTTTGGACAAGGCCAATCTTTGTAGACACTTTTTCCTGCTAACTACGTGTCCTAAGAAACTGACATGTTGGTGGAATAATTCAAACCTTTGTGTTATATTATTTCCAGCTGAACTTCACCCCAAATTCCTGTTTTCGTATGTTTTGTGAGCTTTGCATTAGTCCTTTGGCTTGATAACAGCTGTTGACTCCTTAGTCTCGGCTTTAGTAGTCAGGTTTCCCACAACCATAACAATATGGAATACACTTTCTAGTATCCCTTGTCAGGGGTTCTTATTCCCTAATGTCCTTCACCTGTAGTTCCTGGCAATATATTCCTTGAAATTACACTTGAAACATCAATTAATATTTTGTTTTATTCCTTCCATTCTAAATAATTAACTATTTAACCAATATTTTTAGTTCTTCTAGTATATTGCCAGTGTGAGTTTGTTTCAATATTACACAATCTAACAATCCCATAACTTTAGGAGGGCATGTTTGGTTGTTTATCTGCAACCTTAATGGTTTCTAGTTCATTGCCAACTGCAGAGCTTCCTTTAAAGATATACATCTACTCTGCTTCAGCTTATTTCTCATATCCTCGTCTATTATGGCATCTGCAAATTGGCCACGTGCCAATTAATTCACCATTTCACGAGGATCGTCTAGGTATCATAATTATGAGAGCATTTCAAATTTTTTTTGCACGTTCAGCTAATGTCTCTTATTTACAAAACTTTGCTCTTCATTTTTTGGTGTGACACTCCGAACCGGTTGGGCA